TTGCTGTGTGAGAGCGAAATGGCTGCTTGATCGGCTCGCACAGGCTCGGTTCGATAGCCAATAACCGAAGAGAACGCGACTTGAGTTGAACATTCTGAAAGCTCATACGAAGCATAGCGTGAATTGCTCTTTGGGCAAAATTAAACTCAATTATTAAACTAGACTGGAAGGCTATCAAATTCCGAGAAACTCAAAATGCAATATGTGCATATATGTAAACAAAAATATATGAGTCTAAAGAAACTCAATATTAAATATTAATCAATGTAAAGAGCTGGAGGTAAGCTGAGAAATAGCTCAATCATTTTCACTGAACTGAAGCGTTTCAGTCTACTATCGAAGCCATAGTCATATAATAGATGCATGTAAATATGCTCATACAGCCTACATGTATTTCTAAGGCTTCGTTCATTAATAAAATATGTTTGTTCAGCACGATATTACGAAAGCTCACTTTGTTTTCCTAAAAGTGGAATCCTTTCAATATTGAACTAGCACATAATAAAGGTCTATTAGCTTTATCCATCAACCAATTAGTCTGGCAAGCCATTCACCTTTTCAGAGTCGAACACTTTTCAACCCATTCTCTCTCTCTCTCTCTCTCTACCTCTCTCTACTTTTTATGCGCAAATGAAGCTAAGAAGAGCTTTGCTGCTTACTGTTAGCACTTCCATTTTCATATCAATTTTCAATTTCCAATTATCAGCTGCTTGTGTCCGCATTAGCCTTACCCTTAGCCTTGCACCTGTGAGTGCCCCACCTTTGGGGGCTGGCAGCGACAGAAAACTGCGGTTGATTTGGTTTACGAGCTGGCAGCTGGAAATAGTTTAATTATTTAGTAACCCGATGCCTAAAAGCTTAACAAGCAGCGCCAATAACAATGTCGATGCCGCTGCCGCTGCCGATGCCGATGCCGATGTCGAAGTCGATGTTAATGTTAATGCTAATGATGACAGCAGCACAGGTGTAGCTGGCAGCTGGCCAGGTGCGCATTTGGAAAGGGACAACTGTCTCATAATTCGCACAAAAATGTTTATGCCGTCATTAAATCGAAGCAACGAGACTCTGTTGGCTCCCCCTGACCACAGAGCCGCATGTTGAGCTCAGGCCGTTCAGCAGGAGGCTGACCGCATGCTCTCTGCTCCCACTCTCTGCCCCCACTCTTTCACTCTCTATCTGTCTCTCCATCTCTGTGTATTGCCAAGTGTCAATAAATGTGGTCTTAACTGGCAGTTGTAGCCGCAGTCTGGTCATGAACACCCCCACTCACACACACACACACACACACATACAGACAGACATACACTCACACAGACAGTGGCTGGTAGCAGCACTCACGATCTGCTTTGCCGGCAGCTGTGTCCTTTCCTAGACAAACAATAAAATATTCAAAGTTTATAATGTAAATTAACCCAAGTTGGCCAGCTCGGCCTCGGGCCACGTTTCGGTGTCCTGCCGGCCTGGCCAAGTTGCCAACTGGCCCCATGAATATACAATAGTTAGCGCCGTCTCTCTTCCACGGCTCCACTACGACTCTGCGTGTATGTGTGCATGTGTGTGTGTGTGGGTGGGTGTGTGGGTGTGGGTGGCAAGCAAATGCCGAAACAGTGAGGCAAACATACATAAATTCTCATATTGCTGCGGCCTTTCGGCCCTTTCGGCCCTTTTGGCCCTTTTTGGCCAGCTGCAATCTTGAGACCTAAAGGATTTTGCCGCTGCGGCCCCGGGGCTAATCAAATTTTATTGGCCCACTCGCGACAAGTGGCCCGGCTGTGGGCGTGACCAGGACTCGCCACAACTCGTTAAGTTGCAAATTTTAGTGAGAATTTGCGAGCAGCGACTACGGTAAGCCGACACGAGACAAGCGATTGAACTTTGCCCAGGCGCCAAGCACCAGGCACCTAGGCACCTAGGGCCAACTATCAATACTGGCCGGCCAGCCTCCCTCACCTCCCCCATTCCCCCCTCAGATTGTTTTACTTGGCGACTCGACTCTAGCGAGCCATGATGAATGATTAGCAAACAGAGCAAATCGGATGAAGTAACATCAACAGAACAGAAAGAGACAGGGAGAGAGAGAGAGAGAGAGAGTGGAAGAGTGTGGCAGAGAGTGGAAGAGTGTGGGCTAGCTAGAGTCCAAAATTTGTCGCTCAGTGTACGTCATCTTTCATTAGATTAACGATTGTGCCGGCCGCTGGGTGGCTGCCCAAAATCAAATCTTCAACAATCTGTTCTGCCAAAATGCCTCCGCACACGCATGTTGGCTGCAAAGCTGGCCTAAGGCCACACTGGCTACTGTCTGTGTGTGGCTGTGTCTATTCCTTTCTCTGTATGTGTGTGTGTGTGTGTGTTTGTCAAAAACAAAAACAAAAAAAAAAGAGTGTCAAATGCGAACGGCCCTGCACAGAAGAGACCTGCAGCACACACAAGCCCGTCATACAGTTAGGGAAAGGCCCGGCAGCTATGGCAGGAGCCGGAGCCGTAGCAGGAGCCGGAGCAGGAGGAGCTGGAGTGGGGGCTGGGGATCCTATGGGCAACGAGTGTCAACTTGATCCTGACAAAGTATTTGCGGCTTGCCAGTCATTTTTAGTGCGCCCACAGATTTTGGCAGCCCGTCAGCCCTAAGCTCCATCACCCCAGCCCCCCACCCCCTCTCTCGGCCGCACCATTTGATGCGGCTCGGCTCGGTTCGGTTCAGTCCAGTCGAGCCACCAGGCCAGCCCTAAATGAGTTTTGAGAAACCAAAGTAAATATGATTGTTGATGGGAGCAGCTTTTGATTTAATGGCATTTTACGCTCACACACGAACCCCCAGACACACACACACACATTTCCCAACAAAGTTAATCTAAAAGTACTTCAATTTAGCTGAAATATACTTCTACTATATAAACATATGTTCGCATGATAACAATAATTCGCAACGTATTTATTTTCTTTCTCTTTTTTGTTGTTGTTGTTTTTGTTGTTGTTGTCTCATTGATGAGCTTACGTCATGTTTCGCTGCGACTCGGTTGTTCATTTCCTAATGCCTTTATATATATATGAATGTATGTATATATATTACATATACATATGCTTGCTAACTATTTTTGCAATCTACTTAGCTAAACTTTCCTTTTGTACCCTGAACCCCCATTTAAACTTTGAGTTTATATTGGTATTATCGATGTCTGAGAATGTACATATATATGTTCATATAAGGCAGCAGGTGACTTGGCACTATCGTTCAACTATCAGTCTGTCAATCCGTCGTCCATTTTATAAAAACCACGATTTCGTAAACCACAAGAATTTAAGACTTTCAACTTTGAAATTAAATATTATATTATAATATGTTATACTAATATATGATCCAAATCTGTAATTCGTCATTTCGATAACCTTTCTTATTTATCGATAAATCACAAGTTTAATTTCGTTTATTTTTTTCCTAGTCAGCAAACCCCGATGATACACTGATCAATGTATATGATATATCATATTTTGTAATGCAGCAAATTTTCTCTAAGGTAAACTAACTATCTCCTACCAACTGTAGTTTTTACTGTTATATAGTATAAGGCAATGTTGTCATTCAACTAATATGACATGCAGCTCTATTGGACACAATATTTTAGAGGTAGTAATTAGCCATTTCCTTATTTGCTTGTATACTTATTTTAGCTGGATAGCTATTAATTTAAATGTATGCCTATTTTAGCTGTTTAGCGATTCATTTTTATATTTGTTTAGTTTTTTTTTTTATATTTCTTTTAGCTATTTATATTCATATTTATTTTAGCTAATTTGCTAGATCTTTCTTATATATCTTTTAGCTGTTATCTTAGTTATTTGGTGACTTTTTTATATTTAAATTTAGCTGTTTAGCTATAAATTTCTTATATTTATTTTGAGTTGTTTAGTGATTTA